AATAAATTCTTATAATTTAATACCGGCAATTTTCTGAAGAAAGTTTAACAGCAAAAGAACGAACTTCCAGTTCCGTTTTCTTAAACATGTGTCTCTACAAAGGCAACCTAAAACTGATCTTTGTATACGGTGGAAAAATTCAACATTTGTGCTCCAAAAAAAATTATTTTTGTAACACGAATTTTGATACCTAGTTAAAATAAATTCAATCTAGCCAACAGACTTTTGAAAAAGTGTCAGTGAACTTGACGAAACCAAAAAATTGACTACTTAGAAAAATGACTTTAGATTCTTGACTGACATTTTTTTGGAAAAAGTCTAGCCTGATTAGAGAATTATGGAGATTCGTTGGAAGACTATGAGTGGTCGGGGGATTGCCTTTGATGTCACTGACTGCATTTCTGAAACGAATCGCAGAGCCGGGAGATTAGGGGAGTAGCTCTCGGGTTCCAACGCTATCTCATAAAAACTCATGAGGGTAGACATTATCATCATTACTACTACTATTTCTCGATCTGACTCCAGGGTTAGAAATAATCCCGTTTGAACTTTTTTCCGTCGATTGGAGCACCTTTACATTTGTTGGATTGATTGTTGAGCTCATTTGCTGAGCATTTTTGCACAGCTTGTGATGTCGTACCATTGGCATCAATGATTAGCGTAGAAGGGTTGTTAGTGCTGCAGAAGTGTTATTAGAGCTGTAATTCGGCATATGATGGCGGTCTATGATCAATTTCTGATCTAATGTTGGTCTAACGTTAAATGCAAAAGATTTGGGTCTCGTCACCTCGTCTGATGAAGTCGATGCTGGTTGTTTTAAAACTAGTCAAATTTTCTTTAATGAAACCATATTTCTTTTGCATAAAGAAAGGCTTTCCTGTTTCATTCAAAATGCGGGAATAAAAGCCAAATAATGAAATGAAAAAACAATCCAAATGAGCAATTGTGTCACGATTTTCTTTTTTGGCATTTCGAAAACTAGTCAAAATTTTTTTAGTTAGAACAAATTGAATTTCTGAGCTGCTCCAAAGCACTGTTAAGGCCCTATTATGACCAAACTTTCTGCGCCGCATGCGAATTGTTGATTTCACAGGTCACAAAAAAACATATCAGTTTCCTGTTTTCAACATGTGTTAGAAACAAAACGCACAGAGCATATAGTTTCTACCTTTTATCTTTTACTAGGAGAATTGGCTGTAACATAGCAATGGACTTCTCTAAGAACAATTGTTTTGGGTTTGGCTCATTGACAATTCTCGAGAAAACACTTTCTTGGTGAGGCGTGAAAAACTATTTATTTGCATGCAGCAATGATCTTCAGACTTCATAAAAAAAAACAGTTTCATTCGTTATTTTCTCATGAAGCACAATGCGATACACATGCTGCTGAATACGTACCGTTTGATTGAAGTCTTATTCTGCAATTTAGTTTTTGCCTTGGACTCGATATTAAAAATAACTCGTTTTCTGTTGAATGAAAAATTCATTTCGAAAAAAAAAAATCATTTGCATTTTTTTCGAACCATATTCGCTATTGTAATTTGCCTTCTTCTTGGTCAAAACCAAAAAATCAAAATTGAGACTGATTCAAGTTGATTTTAAATATTTTTACTATCAGAGTTCTGGGTTTTCGTTAAGATCCTCATATCAAACCAAAAACACAAAACGACGCAATTTGAAAAACGATATATTTGTAGCTTTTTTTAAAGAAAATGATCAAAGCATTCTGTGCTACTTGTACAGCAAACGGCTACCCTCGCTACACTCGGTCGTATTCTAGCCAAGCAATGTCGCAAATATGAGGTGCCATTGGAAAAAGCAAATTGCAAATTAAAGAATACAAGACAAATGCAATATCTTAGATACGTGTTCTCCAGGACTAAAAAAACGTTTGGTTATGAATGCAAATAAATTCTTATAATTTAATACCGGCAATTTTCTGAAGAAAGTTTAACAGCAAAAGAACGAACTTCCAGTTCCGTTTTCTTCAACATGTGCCTCAACAAAGGCAACCTAAAATTGATCTTTGTATACCGTGGAAAAATTCAACATTTGGGCTCCAAAAAAAACTATTTTTGTAACACAAACTTTGATACCTAGTTAAAATAAATTAAATCTAGCCAACAGACTTTTGAAAAAGTGTCAGTGAACTTGAGGAAACCAAAAAAGTGACTATTTAGAAAAATGACTTTAGATTAATGATTTACATTCTTTTGGAAAAAGTCTAGCCCGATTAGAGAATTATGGAGCAATTCGTTTTCCTAATTTTACTGGAAATGATGATAATTTAAGCACAATTTTGAAACCAAGCCATTCTTGTTTTTGAAACCATTTGTGCTTTCGCTGTTGGAGAGCAACAGTTGCCTTCGAAAAATCATGAGGAAGGAAACCGCGAAAAATAAAATTCGAGCGTGAACAACTGGGCTTTTTGAAAAAATGTATTCTTAAAAAATTTAAAATGTGTAAACATAGCCTACTGACAATTGAAAAGAAGTAACTGACGTTTTAAGAAATCTCAACTTTCGCATTCCAAACAATTAGATGCCCTTGAAGCCTTTTGACTTTCTAGAACAATTCATGATTGGCTTTTTTTGAGCAAACGACAGGAGGGTATAAGGGTGGAGTAAGCAAGGAATGAACTGGTGATGATGGTAAGACAAGGGTTGTTTTAAGTGAGCTGTCAGCCAGGCAACAAAAAATTTCAAGATAGAAAATCACAGGCGGTATGATTACTCAATACAATTTGACCACCTCGAGGAGTGTCGAAAACATTCAAACTTTCTGTAGAAACTTCTTAGACTTAAACTGCGGGATTATAAATTCTTCTAAAATGAAGCTATCATACAATCTGATGCCCGCTGTCATCTTGTGAATTTTAAAGATAAAATGCTGTCTATCAATATCAAAAGCAACCGAAAGGGAAGCGATCCAAAACTGCAAACATGTATATGCAGGGGCGGATCTAGGATTTTCTCGAGGGGGGGGGGGGGGGGGGGGGATTTTCAAAAAATTTTCCTTTTTTTTTAGGTCGACCAAATTGATTTTTCAAGCTCTCCCAAAGCACTGTTTTGCCCCTACTTTGGCAAAATTTTGTGCGCCGCAGGCAAATTTTTGAAAAAACAGTCAAAAAAGCCGTTTTTGGGCAATTTTTGAAAAATTTTGACAAAAAAATCGCGTTTTTTTGGCGCGCGCTCCCCCTCAAAGTTAGTATATATTGGCACCAAAGGCGCCTTTAGAAAAATTTTAGGGTCGGTCGGCCAAAAATGGATTTCTGAAAAAGTATCAAAGGGGGGACCCTTTGGGTCGGCAGGGGGTCGAATCCCTGAGGGGGGGGGGGGGCGTCCGCCCCCCCCCTAAATCCGCTCCTGTGTATATGTATGTACATTTAAATAAAGTTCACAAATTTACTCTAAGTAGCAAATTCTTTGAAGCGTTTCAAAGTATTTGATTTTAATGTTCTTTCAGTGCTTTGTTTTGACCCGTTATATAACTCAACAAAAATCGGGTACCTATGAAAATCCTTATGACACACACCTTGATAACCTTTTATGAACCAGTAACGTTTTTTTTCTTAAAAAAATTAGGGCATGGGATCTTATCCAGAAGAATTCTGCGCCTGTTCTTTCGATTAATATCGCTATCTCAATCCCATATATTACAGCCCATATTGCAGTGTATTCAATCAATATTTCGAAGGTCGAGTACGGGAAAACAAAAACTAGGAAAAATGTAAGCACACAAGCTAGTAGCCTGTCTTTCCATGGGTACCACTTTTTTGAGACTCAGAAACTCGAGACAAACTTAAGTTTTGTTTTTTCATCAAACAAGAATCATGAATTAAAACTGAACTTAGTTTGGATCTTGATAACTATTTCCCCCCTTTAGGACCTTGTTAACTATCCCCCCCCCCCCCCCACCTATGCATGCATTATTTTTGACAACCATTTCTGTATACAGTATATGCATTTCAAAAAGGTCAACAATTAATTAGGTTTTTATTTTGGCGCGTTCGTATTTTTATTACTCACTATTTATATAAACCCACGTATAAAACTTTAAATATATGTATGTACTGAAAATTGTTTTAAGCTATTGAAAATATGGCCGCCAAACTTGAATGTCTGAAAATCTAAATTGGGGGGGGGGGATAGTTAACAAGATCGCTGTTTTTAACAAACAGGAATCATGCCTCTTTTTATCAAACAGACAATGAATGAAAGCCAATTTCAAACGATTTGTACTAAGTTTCTTAAAAAAACTAGCTCCCAATTATAAGTACATTTGCTATCGCAAAAGAAATGATATATCAATGCTCCAACCAATTTAGGCAGTAACAGATTTAGTGTGGGAATCATGGTATGCGGACGAACAATCTACCTCATGGCTTCGACCAGGGGCGGATTTAGGGGGGGGGGGGGGCGAACACCCCCCCCCCCCTTCCCTCAGGGATTCGACGACCCCCTGCCGACACAAAGGGTCCCCCCGTTGGTACTTTTTAAGAAATCCATTTTTGGCCGACCGACCCTAAATTTTTCTTAAGGCGCCAATATATACTAATTTTGAGGGGGGAGCGGGCGCCGAAAAAACGCGATTTTTTGTACACGATTTTCCTAATAAGCCTAAGAACGGCCTTTTGGCCTGTTTTTCAAAAATTTGCCTGCTGCAGGGTAGAAAATTTTGTCAAAATAGTGTCTTTACGGTGGTTTCAGAGAGCTCGAAAATAATTTCGGTCGACCTAAAAAAAGTCAAAATGTTCGAAATTCTAGAAAATTCTAGATCCGCCCCTGGCTTCGACCCCCTCACGGCCTAAAGGTATGGCTGACCGTCCCAAAAATTATTCTAAAGGCGCCAGTCTATACTAAACTTTAGGGGAAGCGCGCGCCGAAAAAATGCAATTCTTTCATTTAAAATTTTCAAAAAATGCAATTTTAGATCAGGCCCGGACGACAAGTCTTTTTGATACCCATTTTTTGGAAAACACTTCATTGATCGGAACAACAAAAAATGGTAAGGTAAATTTTATTAAGCATTTAGAACTAACACTTCTTATTTACATCAGTTACCTCTGAAGCACATATAGAATATTTGAATTGAAAGCACAATGAAAGTCAACACAGCGAGAACAGTGAAACAAAACAAAGTTAATTTTGGCACTTCAGCTTGGCCTAGGGTAGTAGTTAGAGAAAGGGGAAAGCAAAAAAAAAAGAATATTAGAAAAACTTTCGGCCAACTTTTAAACTTATTTACAAATTTACACAAGATGCATAAAAAACTCGAAGTTGGAGAAACTAAAACAGCTGTTGTTACTAAGAAGCAGATGTACAAACGCATAGTAGGAATACGAAAATATTTGCAGAGCTATTTATAAAAATATAAATGCGACCAATAAATTTCAGCGAGTTTTAAACCACAACGATATGTCTGGTGATTGAAATCAATTGAGACACAAGTGAGCTAAAATTCATATTTTATCAAAATTCGGCTACTTAACCTCACTTCAGTATAAACACTTTTAACAACGTTTACAATTTTTCTCGGAAGATGCTACCAGCAAAGCCTGTGAAAACAGTGTGTTTGTGAGATATTCGTGCCATGCATGCATCACTTCTTATCTTGTTTAAACGAAAAGAGTTTCAAGCATTTTGTTCGGCTAACAATGCAATTTTGATATCATACATGCCTTAGATTTCTATTTCAACGGAGCCGACCATTTTCAAATTTATAACAATTTTTAAATTTGTTAACCGCAGTAACAGGTTTTCGAAAAGCCTTCCTCAGTTGATATTTGCATCGGTACCCGGCACTGTCATTAGCATCAGTAAATATCTTTCAGGAAGCTAAAGTTTTGTATTCTGGTATCTCATTGATGCGCTTCTCGAGTCGAAATTCACTGATTCGGAGACATCGTCCATTTTGCCATCCGCCTGCCCTGCCCCGATCAATGACGAGCTCTGTCTCGCACCTGAAGTTCCACCCAATTCTGTCTTGGACTTCGAGGACAAATTAGAACCAGGCGTAGCATTAGATGTGTACTTAAACGTAGACTTCACCGGATATGTTGGAAGACCATGAGTAGTCGGGGGATTGCCTTTGATGTCACGTGACTGTATCTCTGAAACGAACCGCAAAGCCGGAGGAATAGGTGAATAGTTCTCGGGATCCATCGATTCCTCGTAGAAACTCATAGGAGGGTAGACAATATCACTATTACCACTACTATTTCTCGATCTGATTCCATGGTTAGAATTACTCGCATTTGAACTCGTTTTTGCTGTCGTACCATTGGTGTCATTCATTAGCGTAGAAGGGTTGTTTAGTGCAGCAGAAGTGTTATTAGAGCTGCAATTCGGCATATGATGGCGGTCTATGATCAATTTCTGATCTACTGTCGGTCTAAGGTTAAATGCATGTGATTTGGGTCTCGTCGCTTCGTCTGCTGAACTCGAAGATGGTTGTTTTCTCAGTGCTGATTTGAGTCGCTCCAAATCCGACTCTAGTCTTCGTTCGGTCTCTTTCTGTGGTTGTCTGTCCGTTCCCATGCTTGTTTTGCAGCTCCTCTGAAGGTGACTTTGGATGGGTATCCCACTAAAATGTACAAAAATCAAAAAGCGTTCGTCTAACAAAATAAAAGAAAAGATCAACTATCGGAACCTGCAGGCTCCTCAAATATAATACTAGTCAAAACTTCTTTAATGAAACCAAACACTTTACCTGAAACAAGGCTTTCCTGTTTCAATGAAAGAAAATGCCGGTTCACAGACATCGGACACGTGAAACACACGACACAAAGTAGGAGAACCAAAACAAAAAATCCAAAAAATGGAATGAAGAAAAAAATTCCAGCAGAGCAAATATGTTACGATTTTCACATTTGGCATATCGCAAATTTTTTCATCCGTTTTTTTTAGGTCGACCTAATTGAATTTCCGAGCTGCTCCAAAGTACTGTAAAGAACCTGTTTCGGCCAAATTTTCTGCTCTGCGGGCAAATTTTTGAATACACAGGCCAAAAAAAACATATCACCTTCCTGTTTTCATTATTTGGTAGAAACAAAACGCACAGAGCATGTATTTTCTACGTTTTGTCTTTTACCAGAAGTGGCTTTAACATAGCAATGGGCTTCTCTATGAGCAATTTTACAATTGTTTTCGGTTTGGCTTAATGACAATTCTCAAGAAGATACTTTCTTGGTGAGGCGTGAAGAACTACTCGCATGCAGCAAATGATCTTCAGGCTTCATAAAAATCAAACATTTTCATTCGTTCTATTCTCATGAAGCACAATGTGATATACATGCTACTGAATACGTACCGTTTGTTTGAAGTCTCATTCTCTAAATTAGTTTTTGCTTTGGATTCGATAGTAAAAATAACTCGTTTTCTGTTGAATGAAAATTTCATTTCGAAAATAAAATTCATTCGCATTTTTTTCGCGCCATATTCGCTTTTGTATTTAGAGAGCGTAATTTGCCTTCCTTTTGGAGAAACTGCAAAAAATCAAATTTGAGATTGATTAAATTTGATGTCTAAATGTTTTTACTATCAAAGTTCTGTGTTTTCGTTAAGATCCTCTTATCAAACTAAAAACACAAAATGACGCAATTTGAAACACAATATTTTTTGTAGTTTTTTTGAAGAATATGATGGAAACATTCTGTGCTACTTGCACATCAACCGGCTACCCTCGTTACACTCGGTCATAATCTAGCCACGCAAAAGAGCAAATATGGGGTGCCATTGGAGAAACGAATTGAACCAGATTACCGAATACAAGACAAATGCAATCTCACCTATACGTGTTCGCCAGATTTTGAAAAACGCCTGGCTATGAATGCAAATAATTTTTTCTATTTAGTTATCGGCAATTTTTGGGAAAATGATAAACAGCAAGAAAACGAACTTTAGGAGGCATCCCCTTTTTTAACATACCAGCTGAAATTTTTACTCACTAATTTCCAAGAAAGAATCCTTCCCTTCTCTCTCGAGAATCGATGCTACTCTTTGCTCTTGCATTCGTTCTTCCATCCAGTTCCGTGTTCTTCAACACGTGCGTCAACAAATGCGACCTGAAAAATGTGTCAATGAACTTAAGGAAACCGAAAAAAGCTACTGTTTTTTTTGGAGATTTTTCAATTTTTGAAGCTGAAAAAATGACCTTATATTAATGATTGACACTTTTTCCAAAAAATCTAACCCGATTAGAGAAATCCGGAGCAATTAGTTTTCTTTAATTCGCTGGAATTGATGATAATTTATGCCCAATTTTGGAACAAAGCCATTCCTCCTTTCTCGAACCATTTGTACTTTTGCTGTTGGAGAGCATCATTTGCCTTTAAAAATTATGAGAAAGGAAACAGCGAAAAGTGAAATTTGAGCATAAGCAATTAAGACTTTTCCTAAAAATATCTATATGTAAAAATGTAGAATGTGTAAATATAGCCAACTGACAGTTGAAAAAGAGTAACTAACGCAGGGACACAGAAAAAACAGACTGCTTCTTTTTCAATCTCAATTTTCGCATTCCAAACAAATAGATGCCCTTAAAGCTTTTTGACTTTCTAGAACAATTTAAAATTGCCGTTTTGGATAAAAAGAACCCAATTTGAAAAGTTTTTATTTCGCTCAGAAATCTGATAATTAAATAACTTTTTCAAATTGAGTCAATCAAGTTTTTCGTGACTTTTACATTTTTGCTGTTTGGTGGCGAAATTTGCCTTCCTTTTAAAATAAAAATGCACTGAACTTGAAAAAAAAATCAAAAGTCAAACCACGAAAAATCATAAGTGAGCGTGAACAAAATTCAAGGTTTTTTGATGAAAAAAAAATCAGAAAGACCTATAAAGAGTACTCACTACGTTCATTACTCTAAAAAACTTACTAAAAAACGCTCTAACGTAGATACAGAATCTTTTAAAAACTTTCGGCCGATACTCGTACAACCCAGATACCGCCAAACTAGCCCTACCAATAAGAGAACTAAGTTTTTCTTATGCAAGTTAAAATTACCATTCCTGCTTTTGAATATTGTGTACACTAACTTTGCAACGGGGAAAAAAGTACCCGATTGCAATAGATTATTTCTAATCGCAAGGAAAACACAAGGATAGCCGGTTGTTGCGCAAGTAGCAAGGAATGTTCCGACAACCTATTTTTAAACATAAACTACAAAAAGTTTTCTGTTTTCAATTAGTGTCATTTTTGTGCGTGATGCGATCAAAGGATATGAATGAAAGCCTAGAATTTTGGCATATTCAACAGTTATACTAAAATAGGCAGGGTGGACAACAGTTTTGTCAAAAATGACAAGAATGGCAAAAAACGTTAAAAACTAATTTAACGTGATTAAAACTAAATTTTAGGCCTTTAATAAAAGTTTCACTGCTTGTCCTTTTAAAAATAAGCATGATCGATTGCTTTACTCGCTCGAAACTGAACTAAAACTGAGCAATTTTAAACCAGTTTACTTGACACTCGACAAGGTCACGCAGCGAAGAAGCAGCAATCAAAGCGAAAACATGGCAAAGTGTAGCTGTAAAACCGCCGACAAAAAAGGAAACGCAATTATTTAGATTTCTTCGCCTCGCTAAAAAAGCGCGATTACGCGTTGAGCATCAGAGATAAGTGAACAAAGGCGTGCATAAAATAGTCGAGCAAACTGACAAATTTGAAACCTCCAAAATGTCACTAAAATGATTGGAGGGTAATGATCTTTTAAATTCAGCTCAGGGCGTTGGTAGTTTCAACGTTGAATAAAAACGTCCCTCAAAAAATTATTTGGATAAGCTTTGCAAAAACTTTGCTCTTAAAATAGGCGGCTTGCGTTGGAAACAACATTTTTGTATAATATTGTTTTATGCTGTATTTTATGATACCTGCTGTCCTCAGGTACAGGGCCCGACAAGGTATCGAATGACAATGAAACAGCATCCAGTATATTCTCCTCTGACAACTGGGTGAGGAAATTGCCACTTCCCCTCTCAGAGGGTGAGGGGGTGGAGTAGAGAGAAGCAAACAGAGGAACGGTCGGGATCCGAGGCAGCTTCGAGTCGCCTATCAAGAGGCGGATCTTCGACATTGACTCCACAAACTTGGCACCCATTTCCACCAGCTCACGAGTTCCAATTTGAGTGCCCTGCGAAGAAACACATTAAAAATTAAGAAAAGCTGATAATATTGAAAATCAGAATTTCAAAGAACACAAATTTGCACCACTCCAGGCTTAAATCGTGTGAGTAGAAATGCTATCTTTTTATCGGGCTGACACAAAAGTCTCTGGAAGAAAACGAATAATTCAAAATCCCAACAGAATAAATGGCATCTACAAAATCTGGTTACAATAAAAACTGGCGACTTTGACAAACAAAAAAAAACTTGATAACATATTTGGCACCTTTGTGTTCAAAAGGGAACGAACCATTTTAAAGTGCAAACCATTTTAATCTTATCAGCTCTCTCAAATTCCTAGAAAGCCACAAAATATGTCGTGGCTGCTCATTATCGCGAGATGTTCTGAGCATTTTTTGAAAAAGTTAGACCAAATAAAAGCTTTTCTCCAAGCTTAAAATTAGAGTACACTTTTGCACAAGGCGCCTTTAGAAAAACTGATTGTTCGGTAGGCCAAAAATGCATGCCGGTTTTTTTAACATTTCCCCTGTATTCTTTACCAAATAGATTAAAATACTTGAAATTGTCACGTATGGTAATTATCAATTACAAACACATATTCTACATCTACAACCTGGTAAAAATTATTTCGTCACGCACAATACTTACTTTTTCAGAGGTGGACAAACAATAAAATAGCCTGGGTGTCGTGAAAAAACAGCGCTAAAGGGGACTAGAAATGTGCCAAACCACTAATAAAGTGTGATAATCAGTTTCTATTATGTAAGTTATGGTCGTTCGAACTTTGCTTCCGGGCACTAAATTTACCTTATAAGGTCCCTGGTCGAATCCACTGAAAGTGCTCTCCATGGTGTAGCTCCTGAGTACTTGCAGGTGTCTCCACACAACCACGCGCGCAGTCGTCTCCTTCACCTTCTCCACACTGTTGCAGCAGTTCATCAGGCAGAAGCTGGGGGCACTATACGAGAGCAGCTTCGGAAGCGCCTGCTCACACAAACCAACACAATAGATTAACAAAATATAACCACTGGGCCCTTGGAAAAGTGACTATGAATTCAAATAAACCAAAAACGTTCAATTTTTTTTTGCAACATTTCCAAATTTTGAATTTCAGAAAGCTCACTAAATTACAAAACTTTCAAGTATTAATACACTTCATTGATAAAATTAACTCAATTTGAGAAAACTGAAGCAAATTGTATTTTTTTATGCTGCAGGGAAATCTGAATGAAATTCGACTTATGAAAGTTAAACCCATTCACGTTTTTCTCACCATATGCATTAGCCTTGAGGAACGAAATGTTGCAAAAGTACGAAATGAGATTGGAAAAAAGTAATGAACGCAAGAAAACATAAAAAACACTGACTTTATTGAAAAAATCTCAATTTTGAAACTTCAAAGAAAAAAATAGATGCCCTTTAAGCTCTTTGAATTTCTTGAACGATTAATGATTGGCGCTTTTTTGATAACATTAATCCAACTTGAGAAAACTGGATTAACAGGTAAAGTTTTAATTCCGCTGGAAATCTAAAAATTAGGTTCCACTTTCGAAACTAGAAATCGTTCCGTTTTGTCGCGCCATTTCCACGTTCGTATTTGGAGTGCTATTTACGTCACTTTCAGCAGATGAGTTTCAATTGAACTCAAAAAGTGCATATATACCTAAGTGCATTCATAAATGCATTAATATCTATGAATGCCCATCTGTAGTTATTAGACTTTTAAGACTTTTTCTTGAAAAAAAATATCAGCAAGACCTATATAAGAGTCTTCACTACGTTCATTACTCTTAATTAATCAAATGTATGTCTCATTACAAAAGTTTTCCAAAATTAAAAAAAAAATAGATCGATTTCGGGTAAAAATAGAAAACTGAGCTCGAAGATCCATCCAAGAACGATATTAAACAGTGAGCAGTTTTCCATTAGAATCGGGTCGCGAGCATAGAAAAAAACTGAAACCGTTCCATAATTCATTATTTTTCTTTAGAAAACTGAAACTTTTTACCAACAAGCCCGTCTGCATACATGAATCGGCTCAGAAAAAAATGGTTGTATTAAACAACAGCAAGCTATTCAAGCAATAAAACCGAAAGAGCTTGAGTGATTGCATTTCGTAGATCGGTTTGCGAAAACTCAAGTTTATTGAGGCGAGCTGTTCATTCAAGCTATGTAACTTTGCAATATTTCAAGGTATTTCAGTTTGAACTAATTCTCAAATCTTTTCAACAGCAAAACTTTCAAGTTATTATTATTTTAAACTTTTTGATATAATATTTCATAATTTAGATCAATTTGAAAGCTAAATTTTCGGAGCAAGCCATTCAAGCGATGAAACTCTTGAAATAATTCAGGTAATTTTATAGTGAATCGGTTCGCATGAACTTGAAGCATTCCTCAACAAACAATGAAACTTGGAAATTTAAAGACTACTATGAATCGATTACCAAATATTAACAACTTTTTCAGCAAGCAATCAAAACGACTATCCACGAAATTTTCAAGGATATTTCATTGCGTGCATCGGTTCGCAAAAAAACTGAATTACTTAAATGGGTATATCGGTTCACTAAGTTTTCCGGGCAAGCTACTGAAAGTGCTATAACTTTAAATTATGTCAGGTATTTTGACAGCTCCAATCGATTCGCAACCTATTAAGGTTTTTCTCAATATATTTTAAGCTACATCACAAAACAAAGCGGCTCAAGAAAAATTTAAGTTGGAACCTTGAAATATTTCGAGTTAATTCATTGAGAGACTCGGCCCAGTCATTTCATGGAGCGAATCGGTTTGCGATTAAGTTAAAACTTCATTGAAACGACGAAACTTCGAAGTATCGAGCTATCACGAAGAACGAATCGATTGCTCCAAATTTTCCAAGCAAGCTGTTCAAGCAATGAAACTTTGAAAGCCTTTAAGTTATTTCGTAGATCGAATCAGCGAGCGAACAATTTTTCTTCGAATTAGGCTATTAGAGCAATAATACCCGCGAAAAACAGAAGTGTCCTAAGCAAGCAATTAAAGCAATGGAAGTTTTGATATATTTCGCTTTAATAGATCGCGTAAGCAATCCTAACTAAAAAAACAATTTCGATGAAACTTCAAACACCTTTAAACTTTCGAAACTCATTTCCTATCTTGGATCACTTCGCAAAAACGTTGAAGCTACTCAAGCAAGTTATTGAAGTCATAAAAACTTGAAAAAATTCTAATTTCTTTTTTATGCAAGCTATTGAAGCGATAAGTTCGAAAATCAGAACATTCTTGGCATTCTCTAAACGTTGAGCCCAGAGTACTTTCTTAAACATTGCGCTCGGAAAACTTTAAACGTTGCGTTCAGTTAAACATTGAGTCCATGGCGCTCTCCGACTTTCATTTAATAATTAAGACAAGAAAACACAACTGATTATTTCAGTTTTCCTTTCTATGCTCACGACGAGATTCTTAATAAAGGAAAACTGCTCATCGATGAGTTTTCTGACGATTTCAGTTTTTCTTATATACACCTGTTTTTCAACTCAAACTGTTCATTTCATTAATATTTACAGTTAAGCAATTGAATTTTTCCGCTTTTAGTTCCTAATACTGCGGCAGTGGTCTTTTAAGCCGTATATATCATTTAGGTGGTATATCTCGTTAAATTTACTGTGGACAAAAAAAACGTCGTAAAAGAATTGAAAAAACTATAAAAAACACCAGGATAATGGCATCTGTTTATAGGCTCCTATACTTAAGACATTTTGACAGCAATAATAATGAGATGAGACTATTGCAACTAATCTGGCTTAGCAATTAGCGTTTTCAATTAGCAATACCAGAAGCCTGCATGACTTACACTTATGAGCAGCAAAATTATGACGAGAATTAGGTGTAACAGAGACGAAGCTGCGCTTCGCAAATACTTGCGAGAACACGACCTAAAAGCAGAAAAAAGCCTCGAATTAGCGAAAACTCGGCTATGTGTAGGGTTCAAACCTACGACCTACTGCAATCAAAAGATTTTGAGTCTCACGTACTATCCCCTCAGCCACTCAAGCTTAACAACCAACAAACACTAGTCAAGAATAAAGCAGCTACATATGCTAACAAATTGCCAACACGATTCAGCACCAAATACAAATAGACTCAATTTTGCAATTAATAATTTGGAATATAACAAACTGAAGACATCCACACTAACTTTGCATGAAACAAATTGCAAAGCATAAAACCACATTATGTATAAATTATGCATTTCAAAAAATTGCAAGATATATTGAGTTAGAAAAATTGAGTTTTTATGCAGTTATGTTCTTTGGAACAAATAGCTTTTTTCGGTTCATTTGATGAAATAAAAATGCATCAACTGTGTTACTTTATTACTATTGGAGTGTCAAAGCACATGCAATCAAAAAAAGGTGTCCCACCATTATTGGGGTGCCGCACCAATATTTGCGACTTGAGTTGGAAAAAAAGAAGGTTCGTACTAATACACTAGCTTCGCAAGTGTAAATATACTGTGGCCTTGAACAGACCTTGTAGCCCTGGTCCTCGTTTTCTGCCTTCTGCAGGTCAGCAGGGTACCAACTTAAAGAGTTGCTACATCCAAACATGAAGATGTTCTTCCTTCGAGAGTGGCCGTGATAGTCACAATAGATCTAAACAGACCAGCAAAAAAACAATTTCATCTCTTGAACTGTACCTCCACTACGGTACCTAGTAAAGAAAATCCACACTTACTAAGGAAAAATTGAATGGTTGAGCATATGCGATATTTGTACTTACTAACTAGCGCTAGTAACTAGGTCTAAGAGATGGTAACAAAAAAATCAAAAGGGATGCAAACTATTTTTATCCATGTAAAATATTAAATTTTCAAGCAAAATTCAAGTGAATAATAAAACACTAGTCATTCAAGAAAACCTGCTAAAAGTTGCAGTTGAAAATCAATTATCTTTTCAGAACGTTGGCCAAACGATGGCTCTTTTCCGTTTAATAATATTCTTTGCCACTTAAGTAAAATTTAATCGACGTATCTGACGCTTCATATAATCATAGAACAGTTTCTACACTTACAAATGGCTTGCGTCCAGTCACTGACAGATACTGCAGCAATCCCTTTGTGTGATAAATTGTGGGATGCAACTCTGCAGAAGGGTTCAACCAGACCCTGTTCAAATCCTGTCCAGTAAGCGAGCACCTGTAATTTCCATTGATCACCCCGTCTGGGTTGAGCATGGGCACTATTTTGAATATGTACAATTCGCGCAGTGGTCTGGCCTCTTCGCTTAGAAGGTAGTTCAGGGTTCCTGCCATCACCCAGCTTGAGTTGCTCTCACCCGGGTGCACCCGAGACGACAGGAAGATCACTGGCATGTTGCCTGCAATGCAACGCATAGAGTTAGTAATTGCAAAAATAGCAACCGGTGGGACAGAAAACTCCGCTGACCACCATGAATACTGCAAAACAGCAAAAACCGGGCAAGTGATAAGAATTAATAATAATGATAGGCTTTTCTGCGATTCGCAGAGGATCTATGGAAGGCCTTGCAGCCTGTCTAAGCATAGTAAATTTCTCTAAATTCCTAGACTGAATTCTTTTGTTTTGCGACGCTCTTTTTTTTAACGAATCAGGGTCGTTTTCACACGGTACCACTATTGCAGCCGACACTGGTCAGGCTTTAGACCTGAAGTTCGAGGTCAAATGAGAGCTCGTCCTCGCCCACACTATCATTGTCATGGCAGGGGATCGATAACACAATCTGACGATTACGAAGTGAATGCCTTACCACTATGCTAAGTCCCACTTATCATTATCCACAAAATTCCTTACTTGAAATCGCGTGGAAAAATTACCCTATACCATAGTTCCTTTCCTCTCTTGAGAATAATCGAAAAAAATAATTAAGGGTTTTCAGACCCTTATTATGCATAAATTGGTAATAGTTTTAAAAATTAAATTGCCGTAAGAATATAACAAACTGAAGGCATCTATACTAACTTTGCATGTAACAAATCGCAAAGCATAAAGCCATATTATGAATAAATAATGCATTTCAAAAAATTGCAAGATATAATGAGTTAGAAAAATTGAAATTTTATGGAGTAATGTTCTTTGAAACAAATAGCTTTTTTCGATTCATTTTATGAATTAAAAATGCATCAACCGTGTTAACTTCTTACTATTCGAATGTCAAAGCACATGCAATCAAAAGGCTGATAAGTGGTACCAATATTTGCGACTTAGGTTAGACAAAAAGAAGGTTCTTTCTAATACAGTAAGCTAAGGCTAGTGTAGAAAGAGTCAATGAACGCAAGTAAACAGACAAAACTACTGATTTGTTTTTCAAAAAAAATCTCAACTTTCAAATTTCACAGAAAAAAAATAGATGCCTCAAATCCACAAAGGTAATGAACTGAATTTGAAAAGTAAATGGCGAAAAAGAAAAATTGAACCTGAACAAATTTTAAGATTTTCCCGAAAAGACACGAAAAAAAATCATTGCTACCTATATAAGACTACTTTTATCGACTCATGAAAACTTGGAAAGAAACTAAAAACTCGACTCACTGTATACATTCGCCAGTGCGTCATCGTCCACGCTAGTCTGACAAGTTGGACCCACGTGGTTATTACTCCCACTGCCACTACTACCACCACTCCCATTTCTGCTGTTACCATTATTGTTACTATTGTTGTGTTGTGGAATCGCGGCTGTGATTGTGAGTAGTGGACAGTCGTTGCCAGCTATGCTGCGACACAGACTCTGTCGTCTGAAGTAGATGTCACCTCTCTGAGCAGCTTGCCGCTCCAACTTGTCCAAGTGCACCTAAACAAAACACGTAGCAGTGTTTTATGTGAATTCGGAGAGACATTTCGACAGACCCTAAAAAGGTCGACATAAAACCGAAACTTTAGTGCCGCGTATATTGGAAAAAAGACTTGCATCCTTTGAATGTACTCTGACAGCACCCAATTACAGGGGTGGTATTTCAAATATTGTAAAATTTTTTATTGAAGTTTGTTCAACTCAGAGTTTGAAAAAAATCATAAGACTTTGTGAAGTATTTTATATTTAATTTTTTGAAAAATTTTAAAATGAATCAAGAAAAGTCACCTCTCGGAATTTAAAGCAGTTGAGCAGTCGCATTTGGACGCGAAATTTGCAACTTGGAGCTCCTGAGAGCACCCTTGCAGTACTCAACTACAAAAATGGGAATTTCAAGTCTTTTGAATTATTAAATCTCAGTTTTCTTAAAAGTTAAAAAAATCATAAGACACGTCATATCTCGAAACTTCAAGGATTTGAGCAGTCATATTTTAAACCAAGAATTGCAAGTGCCCTGAAAGCACCCAACAACAGGGTTGAGAATCTCAACCTTTGAGTATTTTTAATTTAAGTTTTCTGAAAATTTTTGAAAAAATCAATAAAATGTCGTATCTCGTAAACTGAAACGAATTTTTTGTTCAAAATTGGGGTCCAAATTCGCAACTCCTGTGGCAACCCTGACAGCAATACTATATTGGGTTGCTAATTTCAAAATTGATGAAATAAACTTTGAAGTCAAACTGGAAAGATGAACAAAAATTCTTAACCATTGCCATGTACGATATAGCTTAAACGTGAAAAAATTCTTTCGTTAAACATGCTGAAAAATACGGTGAAAAGCTAAAACATGGCGAGATAATGAAACCCGCATTTAAATATATAATTGACAATCCATAGATATTACATAGATAATAGATAGATCGAAAGATAGATACATAGAGAGATAAATAGATAGATAATAGATAGATAGTTTTTAAAAGCACGCCTCCCATTTTAATTATATCCTTTATGATATCACATCATAGTTTGGCTGTAGGTCCTTAGTTTTTTCTCACAACTTAGTCTTTCAAGTGTTTTGGGAGAGCTGAGAACACCAAAGTTTTGTAAAAAAAAGAAAAGGTAACGAAAGAAGCCTTGATCCTTGATTAATACAACTTTTGCTAAAACCGAAACCTAGCCTCCGAGCTCGGGATTTGGACTCTCACTCCCTCGCATCTGCGCGACCCCTTGACGGTTAGAAGACACTAGCCACTATAAAGCAGCTACAAATAATAACAAGGACAGCCGGTTGCTGTGCAAGTAGCAGAGAATGTTCCGATCATATTCATAAAAAAAATTTCTTCAAATTAGTGTCGTTTTTAGTGAGTGATGCGATTTCAGAACTATACGATCGCGTAGACAATTAGTGAATTAGGCATGATAGGCAAAATTGATTGCGAAAAAATGAAACAGAATTAAAATTTTCAAAAAAAAATTTTCTTATTTTTTGTCCAGTAGTTATAATTTTTTTAAAGCTGTTTGAATAAAAAAACAAGAAACCTAGCCAACAGACAGTTAGAAAAGAGCCAATTAATGAACGCAAGTAAACCGAAAAAAATATTGAAATACTTTTAAAAAAAACTCAATTTTCGAATTTCACAGACAAAACAGATGGCCTTATAGCTCTTTGAATTTCTGAAACATTGACTTTTTTGAAAAAAAATTAACCACATTTGAGAATTTTGAACCAATACGTAATATTTTTATCCTGCTGGGAAATCTGGAAAATTGAAATCTACTTTCGAAGCTAGAAGTCGATTACGTTTTTTGTGACCTTTACACTTAAAAATAAATAAAAAAAAAAAACAAACGCAAAAAGATGATTTTGAGCCTGAACAAATTTTAAAACATTCCCTGAAAAACAAAACGAAAAAAATATTACGACCGAAATAAGAGTCCGAACAACGTTCATCGGCTCGTAAAAACCTGAGAATTTGCAAAAAAACTGCTTCAAAAGCGTGCCAGATAAAATAAATTGCATTTGGAAAGGCTAGGACGAAAAAACTCGGACAACCAAAAGTCGAAAAAAAAACATTTTTTCAATAAATAAACTTGAATACCTGCATCATTGTGTATGAGAAAGGATAGTGATATGCGATGTAGACAATGTCATCCGAATGCTGAAACTGCAAAGAGAAGGTGAGTGTGTAGTACGTGCAGCCTTTTTTGCCCCCGGTGACAGATGCGTTGCGGATAAACTGGTTCTTATAGTAGCCGATTGAGAAGCCAGATCTCTGCCAGCGCCCAATTCCAGTGTCTAGCATGTCTTGCACAGAGTAGGTCAAGGGCTGCATGCCTAAAACGGACAGGGCACTAAATTTCTCGCACGCAGTTGCTATGTTATTGAGCATTGCATCCTGACAGCTTGAACCAAATGTGGCATTATCACATTAAATTTACGGAACTCGCTCAAAAATGTCAATTTGCTGCTTTCTGAAAACCCACTTGATCACTTTCAATTGTTTTGCAAAAAGTTATTTGTCAAGTAGCCCCTTGCAATCCCTAAGTAATCTGATGAAGCGCTTTTGAACTCACCGAAATTGAACTGACTGTTTGGTTTTTCGAGATTCACAATATTGAATCTGTACTCGACATTTGCTCGCATGTTGGCCACTTCGAAGTAGAACCACTGCGTGAATGACCTCGAGTTGGTGTCTGTGTTGAGCACTAGGTCGTACTCCCTCTCTCGCACTTGAGTCGCCTTTCTCAGGTTGCCACACTCGAACACCGACGAGAACACTAATGTGGGAACCTGTAACGAAACAACCACTCATTTGTGCTCGGTGAGACGACAGACAGCTGTTATTAGGGCCACGACGACTCCCATTCATTTTCACTGGGACTTTCTGCAATTTTACTACGGTTACAATTTTCAGGTTCGCGTGCCTTGCTTATTTGAATGATGTCAACCATCCGAAAGCTGCAAATATATTCGTGAGTGTTCATAATCTCCGTTCGTCTAAATCACCTGGCAACTCCCAGATAGTTTAGCGACTAAACTTACCCTGCAGTCAAATGGGATGTGACAGTTTGAACTTCATGAACCATTGAGTAAAAGAAACTGCTCTTCATCCAATAGATACATAATACGGGAAGATATCGTAATAAAAAACTTCACAGCCTGTAAACTTTAACTGTTTCATCTTATTTTTTTATTAGACCTCGGCCTGCTCAGTGCAGGGCCAACCGTGAGGGAGGGAGATGTCATCCATTCTGCCACAGCCGGTCCCACCTTGAGGAGGCGGATGACACTGGGAGCCCTCCAACCGTGACCGAAGCGGGATTTGAACGCATGACCCTCGTGTTGAGAGACATGTGCCTAACCCACTAAATGTTTCTTCTAAATCAGCATGATAAGTTTTGTCATCAAAGCCTTTTCTGATTATCCAGAATACTCGAACTACGCAATCAGCAGTTAGATAGTTACTATGTTATTGTTCCCACCACTTCACGCAGGAGGGAAGGAACTATGAATTATCCGGCTTATTTTCCGCCCAATTTTGATTACTTCATTTTCCGCTCAATTAAAGCGCGTAGTCACGTGGGATATCATATTGAATCCCGATCTTCAGCAGGGCTGGACAAATCTGGACAGCCATTCGTGCCCTCCTTTCTGCGCCAAAAGTCAGCCAAATCGAACTGCTAGGATCGGCTGCGGCCAATGGACTTATTAAATTAAGATTTTGATTTCAATTCACTTTACTTTAAAAATACGTGTTTTCATTCACTTTTGTCTAATCTTAACCCAATTTGAGAAAAACGTGTTTGAAAATTCAAGTTTGGTTAGTTTTGTTCGGATAATTTAAATCAGCACTGTATATTGTAATGAAACTAAAAGGTTGAAAGTTTTCTTTATAGAAATCAATCAATTAGTTTTTTGGCCTTCTTGAGTTCATGGACATTTTTCCATCTGTCTGTCTGATGGCTATGTTTCAGTAATAAGGGCCGCTAGATTTTTCAGGGATAAGGGTATTACATAATTTTGTGTGTTTGGTTTTTCAATATTTAATCCTTTCTTTATATTTAATCGAAGAATTCAAACAAACGTTATTAATTGAATATGCCTATTTCACTATGACTCTCTAATATGCCTAAGTTCTAGGCTTTTGCTGAGGTCCTCGCGTCACACCACGGAAAAAAAACGACACAGATTTTGGGGGAAAAATGTTTGTTTGCTTAAACTTCTACATTATTGTGGTTATTGCGGCAACCGACTATCATTGTTGAGTTTCGTGGGGGTCATTAAAGGTCAATTTTTGACAATCGAACCCTGGGAGTTAAGCGTAAGTAAGCTGAAAGAAGCTTGTCTGGGTTTGAAAAAAAAACAGATTGTAATCATTATCAGAATTAATCATGTTTGTTTAAACTCTTCGATTAAATATAAAGGAAGGATTAAATATTGAAAAACCAAAAACACAAAATTATGTAATACCCTTATCCCTAAAAAATCTAGCGGCCCTTATTATTGAAACATAGCCATCAGACAGACAGATGGAAAAATGTCCATGAATTCAAGAAGGCCATAAACCTAAACGATTGAATTCTATAAAGAAAACTTTCAACCTTTTAGTTTCATTACAATATACAGAGCGGACTTAAATTATCCGGACAAAACTAACAAAACTTGAATTTTCAAACACGTTTTTCTCAAATTGGGTTAAGATTAGACAAAAGTGAACTGAACAAAAGTTGCCGAGAATTTCTCCGAAATTCTCAATCAAAATTTTACCCCAAAAATGGGTCATTTTGGCTTTTTTTAATTAATCAAGAATTACGCAGAAACTACTTTGTTAATTGATGAGGAATATATATCACAAGAAGTCTCTAACACATCCCAACAAAGTTCTAGAAGGATTAAATCCTTTTTTATAATTTGATTTTAAGCAAAGATTTTGGGTTTTATAAAGTAAAAATCACGTTTCTTGACTATCAAGCAAAATATATTTTCTCTTATACAGGTTTTTGGAGATTTAACCCTTATTCAACTTTGTTGGGTTGTGTAAGAGGCTTCTTGTGATATAACTTTCTCATGAATTAACAAAGTAGTTTCAGCGTAATTCTTGAATAATTGAAAAAAGCCAAAATGACCCATTTTTGGGGTAATATTCTGGTTGAGAATTTCGAAGAAAAAATTGCACCATATTAATTCTGATGAAATTCTAAGCAACTTTTGTTCTCTTCACTTTTGTCTAATCTTAACCCAATTTGAGAAAAACGTGTTTGAAAGTTTTTTTTCATTTTGTCCGGATAATTTAAATCAAATCAGCGCTGTACTTATGTCCATAAATATGCATGAAACATCTACAACAATCAGCAGATGAAAACGTAGCGGAGCATAACGATGTAAACAGTCCTGGAATAAGAGGAAAGATAGCAAACATCGGGCCCATTCTTAATATTTTGAAAAAGAAATCGAAGCCAAAAATAAAATACTTGCCTTGCTGGAGTAATCTACGTGTTTTCTGCCGTTGCCCCCAGAAACCACCTGCTCCTCCAGGTCATAAACTGTAGCTTGAATCAATGACTGTGGGAACAAAAACCGCTCAAAATCTTCAAACATTTTGTATCTAGCAATCACTGGTTTTTCCTCTTTGTAATATTCCACTACATTCGATCTAAGATGACCGTATGCTTCTGGAATCGGAACTTTCTGGAACTGCACCGCACTTAAAGCATTCCAAGCCATACTGGCGTATCTATGTGGCGCATCGTACGGTGTAGGCAACTCTGCGCTGTCTATTTTTGGTCTCGTCTCTTCTCTTTCGAATCTCGGAGAACTACTGACCGTATTTGATTGACTTTTAAACCCACCGGGGCTGGGGTAATTCATATAAGGGTACCAAGAACTAGACGATGAACTCTCTGTCGACGATGACTTTATTCCGTTATCTGCAACTCCTAAAGTCGACGTATGTCGTGCTAGTTGAGACCCGAACGAGAACCCGTCGGTGCAAGATGTTGTCGATTTCGATTTAAGTAATGTCTTTTTAGTCGACTTAATGAGTCGGTCTCTAAGGGCCATTTGATGGGAGTTTATGGGTAGTTTGGGCAGCGATCTAGTCAAAAACGACGATGATGCGAAACTAGAGCTACTGAGGGATCCCATATTTGACTGACTACTTGAACCTAATACCGAAGTATTGTTCAGACTTCGTTTTTTCGTTCCTGAAATCTTGCCCGTTCCAAGCTCTGATTGACATCGATTGTTCTTTTTTCCAACAAGCGAAACGCCTTCTGTTTTCGTGAAGTTCAAGTTATTCAACACCTATGCATAAGATACAATGGCGCCGTTCAACAAATTACATATATTAGCCCGCCCCGCGTATTTTTTTTGCAAAAAAAAACACGTCAATTTCTACGTTTCTCAATTCCTATAAGTTAACACAGTCTTAGAAGATATTCAATCTTTATCGGCATTTTTTCAGTATCTAAAAACGGAATCTTAGTAATTTCTAAACAAGTGAGTCTCTTGTTTTAAACCCAGGTCCTACTAAATGCAGGAATATCCGTGGGAGAGGGGATGTCATTCATTTCGGCGTAACCGTTTCACTTTCAGGAGGCAGATGACACTGCGACTACAGCGGAGGGGATGACAACCGTAACTAAAGTGGGATTCGAAAACACGACCCTTGATGAAAGACGCGTGCCTTACCCAACTCGGCCAAGGCAGCTGTGAGATTTCCCTATCACGAAGAGTACGATGAAAAAGCTAACAACCTATGAAACAGAGGCCAAGCAGAGCTAGTGGGCAGAAAAGTAGAGGGAAACCACTACTTAGGAAAAAAAACATTATCTGCCAACAAGTTCAACTTCAGGAAAAAAGGAGAAAAGCAACAAACATCGTTAAATCAGCATTCATTAAAACTTTCTGATTTTCAACGTTTTTGGAAGACACCCGCACCCCATTTATACGTCCACCTATTTTCTGAAACTTAAAAAGCATGAAAATCTGTTTTTGATCACCAAACGATGAATTACAGATCGATTTTCACTCATGGTAAAATGATTAATTTAGAAAACTTCATGCTTTGAAAATTAAACTGACAGAAATTACGCAGACAAACGGTAATCCGATAATTCCCAGAAAAAGTTTTCATTTCAGGCATCGCAAAATAGCTATAGGTTCCATATAAGAGTCCAATTATATAGAGTCTATAGTCCAATTTCATACAGATTTTTTAAGTTGCTCACGGAAAAAGTCTAGCTCCCGCTTAGAAACCAAGTAACATAGCCAACTGACAGTTGGAAAAGAGTATTGAACGCAAGAAAACTGAAAAAAAACTGACTTGTTTTTCAAAAACCTTCAACTTTTGAATTTCGAAGAAAAAAAATAGATGCCCTTAAAGCTCTTTGAATTGTAGAACAATTTATGATGGACACTTTTTTGTTAAAATTGACGCAGTTTGAGAAAACTGGATCAATAGGCAAAACTTTTATTTCGCTGGGAAATCTGATAATTAATTTCCATTTTCGTGACCTTTACATTTTTGCTTTTAGATAGAGGAGTTTGCCTTCCTGTTAACAATGGAAACGCACTGAACTTAAAAAAAATCACGAAAAAGTCAAACCGCGAAAAATCAAAAATGAGCGTGAACAAATTTTAAGACTTTTCCGTTAACAAAAATCACCAAAACCTGTGTAAGAGTACTCGCTACGTTCATTGCTCTAAACAAATTCACTAACTTCATACTGTTCTTTCAAAACCACCTCTTCAGTCGAAATTAAAGTGGCCGATTGGGTGGAGCCCCGTGCGAACAGTGACTTAAACACACCGCCTGTGATCTCCTCGCTGTGCTGAATGTCAGTTTTTGAACTTCCAAACGTATCCGAGGACCAGTCAAAACATACGCTCTGGTTTTTACTGTGACTGGAAACCTCTTCTCTAGCTCGCTTCAACATCCAGCCTACTGCTTCTTCGCAAAACGTACTGTAACGAGGAGATATTTCAGAATGTGGCAGTTTTCGAGCTATTAATTCAGGAAAGATCCATTGGTACTCTTTTTAATTGTTGTTGATTCGCAAAAAGTGAGATGTTTTTAAACGCTTTCTCGTAATTATGTAGTTTATTCAAGCATAACATTTTGACCGCCTATTCTGATATATCACCTGTAACAATTCTCGAGGTCCTCGCGTGACCTCGTGGTCACTTTATCACTAAAATACTCGTCCGCTTCCTTTTCGTCATCTTCATCGTCAAGGTCATTGTTATTCGGCTGTTGATCAGGTGCGTTGTTCGAGTTCGGAGGAGCCGAAGTGGACTCGCCATTGGGTGGCCCTTGAATTTGATCCGGATTGTCTTCGTCGTCAAGAAAAAGGTCGGGATCTACGTCAGTAGCAGGCACGAACGAAATGGCGTTCTCATCTTCGGTCAGATCCAGATCATCATCGTCATCTTCGAAATCTAAATATGACAATATTTCCCTTTCAATGGCTCGTGAATTATCTCAAATCTCTAATGAGTATGTTCAAAAAATTACTAAGACGCATCCTGTGTTTCAAATCCTGGTCTACAACAACCAAATATGTTCAAACGCAATAATGAAATTGTTTTCAAAAATGGAACAAAGATACTGATTAATCTTTTTAAAAAAAGAAAAACAATAAAAAGGCCAGTTAGCTATCGAGTGGTGTCTTCATGAAAAAACAACTGAACAGCGTTTTGATTTCTGATTACCAGATATTCGTTATCCCAAATGTATTGATGCCGTGCGTAAACAATGCAAAAATTACTTGATTGTTTAGAGAAGTCATCGAGATATTTATATTTGTACAATGGATAAAGAAGATTTGAGTTGGAGCGAATCCTTGAGTTTTTTTGTTCTGGCAAGTCATTTTTTCTGTATTTCGAAAGCTAAATCATTATTTTTTGGATCTCGAAATTGTCAAAAAATTCTTGATCGATCATTATGCCATTATTTAGCAAGCCATGCTGCTGCTCCTTGAGTAGTGCAAACGAATAGTTTGAATAAATCAGAAACATCAAATTTTTACATTTTATCAAAACTTAAACTTTTTTTGCAGCAAGTATCAGTTTTAATTGTTTTCAAGCTTAAGCAGTTCAGTTTTATCACCAGTTTCATATATAAGAGCAGCATACTGATGAAGTGATTGAATATACGTTTTGTAGATACTTAGCAGTTGTTTAGACTGAAACTTTTATCCTGGTTAAGATTTAACTTGTAAGGTATGAGCCAAGTTTTGGCATTTTCTAAGACAATTGCAGTTATGTAGTATAATAAAATCAATTGCATAGTTTCACTTTCCTTTTCAGGAATTCACACAACCTTTGGACAGATTCTTGATAAATGGTACGAAAATAAGAGTCCCAGCACTGACTATTTTGAAAACGCTTAAGCGATAGGTTCAAAGTTGATCCCTTGTTTACAATTTCTACATTCACATTTGTGGAAAAAATGGACTTTCTGCAATTCCCTTTAAATCAAAAACTTTACATTTCTCATCAAAATTGCATAATCATCATCGCCAAAAGCTGAAAATTCGAGCCTAGTAGTCATTAAAAAGTACATTAAAAGCCGGAAAAAAACGAAATAAAAAAACAAAAATTTAACAAATCGAGTTAGTAAAATTACAACCTATGTAAAATCAAACTAGCGTGTAACGCACCTCTGGTGCTTCGATTTTTAACAACTCATAAAAACCGCATATATTGAAAATAAGATCTGCATCCTTTGAGTGTACTCTGACAGCATCAAAGTACAGGAACTTCAGATTTTGAAAAGGTTTAATTTAAGTTTTCGGATTTTATTTTGAAAAAATGACAAAAAAACGTCATATCCGGAAAACTAACAAGATTTGAGCACTTAGATTTGGAGGCAAGATTTGCAACTACTGAGAAACTGAGAATCTGAGAAAAAATCATAAAAAACGTCATATCTCGAAAACTACAAGGATTTGAGAGGTAAGATTTGGAGGCAAGATTCGCATCCCGTGAGAGTACCCTGACAGAACCCAACTACAGGGTAAAAATAAGAAAAAAAAAGAAATTTTTCCAAAATAAATTTTTTAGAAATTTTTGAAAAATCTCGAAAATTGCCGTATTTCGTAAACTAAAAAGATTTGCTTATTCATATATGGAGGCCAGATTCGCAAAACCTGGGAAAACCCTGACAACATCTCAATATTGGATTGCAAATTTTCAACACTGAATTTAAACTGGAAAATGGAAAAAAGATCTTAACCATTGCAATATACGGTATAGCTTAAGCCAGCAAAAACTCTTTTGTCAAACACGCAAAAATAATACGTTTAAAAAGCTTAATCATGGCGTGATAGTGAAGCCCGCATTTAAATATATAAAAGATAGATAGATACCGGATTTTTAAAATGCTAAAACACGAAAAGCAACTAATGTGAAAGATGTTTACAGCAAAAAATACATGATTCTTAGATGTTGCAACTAAGCTGGCAAAACATCAGCAGTCAAGTATCAGGCCGACAGCTTTACTTGAAATAGAAAATTTTCATTTAAAACAAAAAAACAAGAGTCGCTCAGATTCGAACCCGGAACGTTTGCCGTCCCAGGCAAATTCATTACCTCCAGGCTAAGTATTCAGGAAAAACTAAGAAACTTGAACTATTATGAACTAAGGTACTGACAGGAGTCTAGATGAAAAAACAATTTACGGGAAAAAAATTGTTGTAATCGATTGCAATACCCTTATCGCGGGGGGACTTGATCAATAGATAAAGTTTTTATTCGGCTGGGTAATCTGAAAATTAAAATGCACATTCGAACTTAGAAGTTGATCACGTTTTTCATTGATCACATTTTTGCTGTTCGATAGTGGATTTTGCCTTCCTTTCAACAAAAGAAATGAACTGAGTTGAAAAGATATCAAAAGTCAAATCGCAAACAAGTAAATTTTCCCGAAAAAAATGACATAAGTCTGAAATACGTGTATCGACTCAAAAAAAAAATACGTGGTTCATATGAAATAAGCTTTGGTTCATAGGCTGGGTTCAAATGCGTTTAAAATCATTTTGAATCTCTTTGGCCTTAAGTTCTTTACTTGTGTAAAAAATCATTTAAGGGAGTTTTTTCAACATGAGAAACATTTAGGTCAAATTTGCTGACACTTTATCCTATTCAGAGAACATTTCTCCATCTGATGCAAAACTGAAACTGAACTCAACGAGTGACGGAAAAATCTTTGCAGCTTGATGAATATTATTTTTGCAAACTAAAAGTCAATCAGGTGTTAACTCTCCATTTGCACGTTCGTTTTACCTTATGAATTCGAACGGAACTTTAAAAAAAACGAAGTTAAACTGCAAAAAAAAACAAATTCGAGCCTGAACAACTTCAAAGACTTTTTGCGCAAACCAACGAGAAAAAATCAACACAAACTATATAAGGGTCTTCACTACGATTATGGATACCTAAAAATAGAAGCCTCTTACTAAACAGATGCTTCCTTGCTTATTTAATTAATTACAACACAAAAACACGGTGACAGGACTACTTGCCCCAATTCAATTGGCTCTCTGACAATCTGTCATATACTAAATTGCCCTACATGGCTTTTGGTCCTATGTCAACTTGTCCCCATGGATCTGTCCCATACTTAACATTTTATTTGATTCTTGGATGTTCGAATTGAAGACCAGCAAGCGCTAAGGACTGGACTCGTTTTGAGATAACAAAAGAATCAAATCGAAAAATTTTAACTGAGCCTAAAAACAAAAACTTTTGGCACTTACACGCTAAAATTTGACAATAATCCACAATTAGCGCCATTGAAACTAAATACAGCTATTCTTTCATTTTGCGTCATTGTTTTACCATTTTGTTCCTAAACATCCATCATAAATTCCATGAGTCAAATTACGTGGAGAATAACTCAACGAAACAAATGAACGCTCATTATTGACGGACAAGACTTCCCAAAAAGCAAACGACAAAACACAGTACTTGACATGCGCAAGATACGGTTCACACAAATGCCACATACTCGCTGTCACAGTAGATGAGCTGGTATCAACCAAAAATGAGCAGTCAAGATGTTAGAACTGGAGCAATTGAGGCTAATCAGATAAATACATCAGATGAAAAAAGAGGCCAAGCAGCAAATTGTACCTGTCAATAAGAGTATATTTGCCACTTGTCTCCAGGAGGTAACAGATGAGAAAGTAGTTCAATTATCTTTGCCCAGTCGTGCAGCAAAAAACAGAACTCTTAACCGCCAGTAACAGAACTTGGTCCCATCCTTGCCAATCATTAATGACATTAATTCCAACGGAAACTTCTGATTGTCATCATTTTTTGAAACTTTAAGCCACCGTCGAGGGTCCAAAATTTAAGGTGATAAAGGCAAATACTGAAATAACTTTGCTCTTTCCCTCCACCGCTCCCTATACTGAACTAACCAGTACAGGGGGTTTAAGGGGCGAGGCAGTACCTGCCGTTTCTCATATTATCGATTTCATGCTAAAATTTTTTGAGTTCAAAATTTGAGCTCTTGACTTCTTGATTTAATGTATTGTGCACTATTAACTAAGCTAAAGGAGCTTACAAAATCAGCAATCAATCTTTTGATATTTTTAACTCGACATGAAAAGTGCGTTGAAATTTAGCCGCATTCAATTTGATCATGCATGCTTTGAACTCATTTTGATTCAGCGTATGTTTTAATGATTCCGCATTTTGTTTCAGGCTTAATTGTTCAACAAAATTATCTTTCATTTTTATGCTGATATTAAGTTCTACGAGGATATCAAAGAATATGGGGCAAGTTTTATTTAGTTATTATCTGGGACAAGATGGCATTGGACAAGTTGTCATTTTGGGCAAGTTGGAATAGGACAAATTGGGCTGTAACAAGTTGATTTGGGGCAAAATGACATGTAACCACAAAAACACACACACACACGCGCACACCTGTTTCTCGTGATGGTTCTTCCAGAGCTCTCTCGGCTGACTCGGACTGATTGGGCAGTTTGTAGTGGTAGGCAGAAAAGAGATTACTCAGAGGCAGCGTCTGTCGCGGCACACACCGTCTGATGATATAAACTGCCAGCTGAATTAGAGGCTCTAAGTCAGCGTCTAAACATCACAACATCCAACTCAACCTGTGACCAATACAAATACAATCAAGGCATGCAAAATGGTCAAATGGAGACACAGTTATTCTTGACCAATCAACAACACAATTGTATTCACAATTAATTCGAAGATTTCGAAAGATCTTTTAGAAGCTATTGGTTATACCAGAATAACTGTAAAAAGAACTTAACATAGACGAAATAGCCATAACCATTATCCGAAACTGCTCATTTTTTCTTTTCGAGCATTTTTTACACTCATTAGTTGCAGCTTCTAATGTTATTCTCATCTTCTCGAGCCCTGTACCGTAAAAACATGCAAACTAAATTAATGCTCCAAATAGGATTGCAAATGTAGTTCAAACCTCGACCAACATTTATAAACAGTACTCACGGGGCTGAAAATGAAGCCGAAATAACATCAAAGGAGGGTTTGGACATACAAGCAATAAAAATATCAGCCTGCTTCAATCAGCGAAACCCAAAGATACGAGAGGAAGTCTCTTATATTTTATGCCACTTATACCCACCATGATCCGTGCTTGCTGCTTCAGAGTGAGACATTATTTCCGTGCCCGTAAAAACAACAAAAACCTTGGCATGAAAATCTCGAGGGGAGCAATCAGTACTCGGTAATCAGTTGAATATACTGTAGAAAGAAAGTAAAGCAAGCAAACAGCTCATAGGATTTTTCAAATTTGGCCGTAGAGAGCCTTCTTTTTAAGACGTTGAGAATCTGATTCAGATAACAGAAATGTGGAATTTTCGAACCAGATTCTACCAGTGCGTACGTAAAATTTTCATTTAGCTTTGGGTATTTTGTTAGTCTAGAGTATGTCAAAAACGTAGTTTTTAAGATATGAAAATAGTGTTTTGGGTTTCCTTTCATCTTTTTGTACCAGGAAACGTTTTCATTTGGAATGAAGAAATGCTTCAACCTAAGCCAAATTAATAGCTACTACCTTACAGAAACACAAAATTGATTTTGCGCTTTAAAGAATTGTTTTTTTTTCTACACTAGTGGACAAAATTAAACGCAAATTCAGGCTCAGAGAATGGTTTCCGAAATCATTCTTGAAAGCAGGCTTTTTAGAGAAAAAAATCTGAGCTTGCACTTAACTATGCCCACTAGTGTAAGTTAAATAATTGCGTTACTTTTTTTCTCCAGTATATATGGTTTTCTTCGTGGATAAACGCTATGATGTATTTTGTCGCTAACGCGTGCCATAAGAACGCAACTTATCGCGCGTTAACTATTCCAATTTGGCCAAAAGAGCAATTTTAAAACACCAAAATTAAACAAAAATGATCACAGGTATAAAAAGTCGTAACATGTCCCAAAAAACACTCCAGGCATAAATATTACGCCAATTTCTTCGAAAGTCGGAACAATAACATATAAACAGTTCCCACTGCCTTTATTACAAAAAGTGAACTCCGCATATTCATCTCAAAAAATGTCAACAAATTCAAGAAAACCAAAAAAACTAACTATTTTTGACGATTGAACAAGAAAAAATTTATAACGATAACGTTGTTATGAATTTTTAGAATCTTCCATGATTAGAACTTATTTTATTAAATTAACCCAAGTGGATCAAGAGGTAATTTGTTTTTCGGCTGCCGATTCTGAAAACTAAAAACAATGTTTGAAACTTAAAGTCAGTCAACTTTTTCTCGTCATCTGCAATTCTAATATTGGAGAGCCCAAATAGCCTTCCTTTTGGCAAATGAATGTTATGACTTTAACACAGAGGCGAAGCCCTCATCTTCTTTTCACACCCTGAGTTTTAGATTGAAGATTTCGTCGCCCTGAGTTCTTAGATTGAACCCTTAATATCATATTTAGATAGTAGTTTTCGAGAATAGTGAGGAAACTTCTAAGAAAAACGGTTTAAAATTTTGAATAATTTTTCCGAATTCCATATCAATTTGTTTATAAAAAAAAACAGGGTGAACAAGATTACGCAGGGAAAATCTAAGGATAATCTTAGTTTTCATGAACTATCAACCGCAGAATTAGAAAATTCGTTTTTCAAAAAAACCTTCCAAAAAAACGGACTAAATCTCAAATTGGACGTTTTCCAAGGCCATGTTTTGCTTCAACATGCAGGGCATAGCCACTTGTGCAGGTAAGATTCAAATGACTGATTGATTTCTCTCGGTTAAACCCTTAATAGTTTTGGCAGGGTGGTCTTGAGAAAAATTTTTAAAAAATTAAAAATTAATCTAAATGTCAAAAAATGGGCTTGTTTGAGGCCATAACTTTTTTCTACCTAATTTAGGGAATAACCGCTTGAGAAGAGAGATCTCCATAACTTGCTCTTTTGATTGAAACCTTCATCTCAGATTTCTGCATTTAATATTTGAGAGAATGAAAAATTTCAAAACAAATAGGCCTAAAATCTATTTGAAAATTTGTAGTTTTTGAGAAAAGTTGAAATTTCTGTGAAAAGTGCAAAAATTTTCAAGTGTCGCAAAAAAAAGGAAAAACAACAAATCCCATACATTTTCATAATTTATTTTTTTGTTTCAAACAGGACCTAACACTAGCCGAAAACAAAGCACCACTATATGTCATTAATTTGTTTATGCTTAAGCCAGCTTAAATATGATTAGATTGAAATATACCAAAAATGACACCAAACGAGCACTTTTAATTGCGACTTCAGTCAGAAATAATTCTTCGTAATAATACACTACGCTTCGCATGTGTAAAAAACAACAGAAGTAAAAAGACGAAAAATCAATACATCGTGAACAGCTTTTAAGACTTCTTCCTGAAAAAAAATCAAGACGACCTGCTTAAATGTTTCACTTTGGTCATTGACACTTGAAATTTTTCTCAACTGTAATTTTAATTTGCTGTGAATGCGTAATATTAAGAACTCAAAGCAAACTTACAAGAAAGCACAATAAAACAAAGTGACCGTCCACTAGTTCTCACTTACTTCCTAAGGATGAAAAAGATGTGGCGTAGAGAATCCTGAGGCCATCGAGAGCCTGAAGCGCTTTCCTTCCAGTCTTATGGTTCGACATCATCTTCAGCAAGGTCAGTGCCTGCAAAAAGAATTCTCCTTTGTGATAAAATTTTTTTATAAATTTTTAAAATCATAATTGTACCCTCATTCCAACTCATACCTGTTTCCTCAAAGTCAACTGCTTGTTTCTCAGATCCGTCGAGTGCCACTCGGAATGAATTGTGATCATGATGGGAACCCCGCTGAAGCCAATCATTCTGTTCACGTTGGCTCTCGTTCTGGCCAAGTTGGTCAGGATGTCCAGAGCCTGTCTAATGATGAGGGGGTGCTTTTTCCCAGCCGCAGCTGCCAGACGAATGACACAGCTGATGGCGCCACTACGTCCCAGTTGCTGACAATTTATAGCTGACAAAAACAAAACCGAGTTTCAACATTTACACCGGATCAAAGGAAGCTATTTTTGAGTAGTCAAGTTAAGTTATACCGACCGACACATTAAGTCTTAACGTATGTACATGTTACGATCAGAAAACATTGAAACCCTTACCAACTGAAAACATAAACTTTACCACCTGAAAGTTGTGAAAATGTACAAAAAATAACAGCTCCATAAGAACAAGGATAAGTTGGCTACTAGGTACAGGTAATGAAAGGGATATGTGATAAGTCAAAGTGACCCTATTCACTATTATTATCTGTGTCAAAGTTGTTTCTTATTTTCTATTCACGAGGAACAGTCGTGGACTATCTAATCTGAGCAGATGTAACAATAAAATAATACACATACATACCCGATTGTGTTTCATCTGCGCCTGTGTAATCATTCAAATCACTATACTTTTTACGCTATTATTTTCAACTTCAGTTAAGAACACTTGAAAGCTACACCTTTCAATTCGGTGCTGGGCAAATAAGAGCACCCGACATTAGGGCAAAAAACTAAATGAGAAAGAACACGTTTACAGTAACCTGATTGATTACAGCTTTTTTTTAAAAAAAAAGTAAGCTTGCAAATCTTGATTTGTCTTGGTTGTGTTCCCGGGTTGACCTCCATACACCGAAAATGTTTATCATACAATTCCGTACAAAAAAAACCCTTGTCATACAATTCCATACATCAAGTGTATGGAGAAAATGCTTGTCATACAATTTTCATACATTTTCTAAAATCAATAGACATTAAAAACTAAACAATTTCTGGGGTTTTTCTGAAAACAGTTGAACCGACTTGGTAACGAAAAAAACTGACTGAAAAACTTTTTTTTTTAAATGCTTAGCATATAATTTCCATATATAATTGAAAAAATTATCCTCCTTTGAATTTTTTCAATTTGAGCTAACAAAATTTACAATTTACAATTCCATACCCAAACGTTATATCTGTGATTTTTGCGATGTTTGGTGAAAACTGTAGTTGATATGTAGTTTGTGATTGTAATTTATGGAGTTTTTTTTTCAAAGTTCAATGAAACAAAAGAATACTTTAATTTGTTGTGTCCCAATTCGTCGCAGCTGGCTGGCTGCAAAGCATTTTCTCAGGATGCCTTGGTGAGGTATATTTTTAAGGATTATATTTTCAGTTTTTTTGTCTCCTATTTTCCTTCATGCAAGGGTGAAGCTTCCCTTTGATATATCATATGTGTTTTCCTTCGTCGCTGTTTCTAATTTTTTGGGGTTGGGATTTATGATTTGTTTTTCTTCTTATCTTTTTGCTTTAGATTGTTGTTTTATGCTCACCGATATGGTAGGAAATGCAATGTAGGCTAAACTGATTAATGGGTTTGTTTTCTTGCACAATTTATAATGTTCTTTTTAGAGGAACCGCATTTGTGGTTGTCAGAACGATGTCACCGAATTGCATCGAGAGGTTTGCCGGCGGGGAAGTTTTTTTTTGAGGTAACCCCCTCTCCATCCAGTATTGCCCCCTTAGGAACAGGTTTTCTTCTCTGTTCAGAGATTGCATGGCTTATTAGATGGGCTTTAATGTAATTTGTGCCTCATTTGAAAAAAAAATTTCCGAAAACTGGTTGTCATACAATTTTCATAAATGACAATTTTTTAGTCATACAATTTCCATTTATGGCAAAATGTTAGTCATACCATTTCCATTTATGGGAAAATGTTTATTATAGAGATTTCATACAATTTTCTGTACGTATGGAATTGTACAGTTGTCATAATTTCCCATTTATGAGAATTGTATGATAAGCATTTTTGGTCAACCCGGGTTCCTTCTTAATCATTTGATTGTAATGTTAAAGTTCGTGAAGAAGAAATTGTCTTGGTAACAGTATTGGTCTTTTTTTACTGTATCATTATCGTACTTGATTTAATTAATCTTTCATATAATGTAATTACCTTACACAGTATTTGACCTGATAACTTTTATGATGATTCTGGCGTGCTATGTTTCATGATGTCATTTCATTTCGAGTCTATTTGGTTGTAGGGATTAGCCAAAAACGCAGCAGGGTAGACTGCAGGCTGAAATGCAGCTGAACATAGATTTACAATTCCTCACACTCTCAAAAAAAAGTATCCTAAGTGACCCGCTTTTGAAATCAAATACAGAACGCCAGGCTGCTCAAATTGGTCATAAAAAAGTGACCTAGCTTTTTGGCCACGTAACTTCTGCGCCGCAGGCAAATTTTCGAGAAAAAAAACAGACAAAAAATGCGAACTTTCGGTGGAAAAAACAATGAGAACAGGCAAAAATGAGAAAATATCAGCGCCAACGGCGCTTTCAGATAAGTTCCAGAAAAAATGACCTTGGAAAAAATAATTGACCAAAAAGTGACCAGGTCACTTTAAGTGACAAGTTTGATCAGATTGCAGAACGCTAAGAGACACGTTTAAGAAAAACGTTTTGAGTATACTATGCAAGTGGTATGCTAATTGGACCTCTAACCAATAATTAAAAAAAAAAAGATTTTATTTCTCTGTAATACTTTTTCAAAATAAAGCAGAAAACATCAAATTTGCAGTTTGGGAACTGAAGAGCATAATTTGCCTCCTTTTTAGCAAGTCTTTATAAAATTTAAGCTTTTAATGAAAATCAATTTAAAGTCCAGCCGCGAAAAAACAAACATGAGGGTAATCAACTTTTCAGTTTTTCCTATATCGCACTTGTTCACAACGCAGACCAAAGCGTACCCCTTTCAGTTTTTCTCAAATTTTTTTGACGCCTGTTTATTTGCAGAAGAGGTCTGAAAAACTTTGTGTGAAAACGAGCCCAATTTTAAGGCCTCAATTTGGACTCATTTTAGACTCGGAGTCAGGTGCTTGCCAATGGATATCTGTCAACCTGCCCAAATCAGCACTCTTTATCCTATGTTCCAAGTTACACTTCTCATTTTAAAATCTTCTTCACTGGACTTCACACTGCTCTCTGAACTGGACCCTGAAAATAAACTTCACTCTCCACCATGTCAAAGAGGCCTCTACCCAAAGAATCACTGCCCTACGGCTTCAGGCATTCTTCACTAGTGGGCCAAAGAAAAACCACTTATCCAGTGGTCATACTACTGAGCCTGGCAACCCTGGACCATCAACTCATGAGAGGTCAATACCTGGACCTTCAAGGCTCTTAGAGCCACTGGTACTTTTAAGGTCCATGCTGATGCTAGCAAGATTGGTGATGCCTAATTAGATGATAACAGAGGTCGGCCTCTTACAGCTACATCGACGTACAATCACTTCCATCAGATCATCTGCCTGCCTTCATCGACTTCGTTTTGCTAGACCTGCCGAAAAAATTCTACGCGGCTGCCGCATCTTGCTTTTAAAAGTGCAAGCTCATTTCTTGGTGGATTTAGAACAGAGATTCAACTGAAAAAGATTTCGACGACTTGATCGATCTATACCAGAACGTACTGCCATATGGCAATTTCGGGAGCGAGTTCCAAGTCTGGAGGAAAATGTGCGGCTTCCAAATATGCGGCTTTACAGCAATATACCAGCAATTTTCACTGATGTCAAAAACAGTCTGTCACAAGTCGACAACTCCAGCCATGTACGCACTTGCTCCAAATTGGAGCAACCCTTCCAGTAACACTTTGCACAGCTGAACGCTGCTTCTCTGGTATGAAACTGAGAAAAAGTAACTTCGATCTAATACGAATGAAGATCGCTTATCGAGTTGGCTTTAGTATACATCCACATAGAAGTGGAAATAAATGTTCATGATGCCATAGACTCACTTTTGTACAAGATTACTTAAATTTTCCGCGCCCATATAGGATCCGCGCCTATATAGGATCCGCGCCCATATTTAAAAAAAATGTTTTTTTTTACGGTAGAAAATTTAAAAAAATTTGACGAGAAGCTTCAAGGAATTTTTTTTCCACTAAACGGCCCGATTCATTAGCTGGATAATTTGTACTTCAATAAGACATGCCTTTTTTCTACAAGATCTGATCCTGCAAATCATGCATTACGTATGCTCCATACAAGGGGTCCCACGCATCAAGTCAGTAATACTTCACGCCAGTTCTTTAATTTGGGGCAATTTTTAAATCTATGGATGTTTAAACACGTTGAAAAAAAAGATAAATTTGAAGTTTTTCCAGTTTACATTATATGAATTTCAATAGCTGGCTCCTTAGAAGGTAAACTCTAATGTATCAAAGAGAGTTATTATTTTACTTTCAGGTGCTTGAAATGTGTGAGATTGGGTCTCGTCGGCTTATTGCCCTAGACGCCTCTATGAGTGCTTCGCTACAATTACGTCACAAGGACATAATGTAATAAGAACAATGTGACGTAGGGTGAACTTACAATTGGCGGAGACTATCCGCAGCACCACCAGATAAGAGGAGAGTTGTGAACTGTTGACCGAGCAGTTGCGCACTAGACACAGATTCACCCCCAGTGCCCCCGACAGACGGAAGCGTGTGCTGAAGCGTTTGTCTGAAACATACATATGAGGCGTTACACTATTAATACATTCATGCATCTTGTTAACAACACAATTGACAAGCGGGGGATTCGTTACAAGGTACAAAATTCGCAAATGCTCAACTGTTGAATTATTTCCATAACAGGGCTAGAAGTTATTTACTGGGTGCTTTAGGAGGAATATTTAACAAAATCGCGTCTCATTACGTATAATTTTCGATATTTCATTCCGTTCGGGGTCTGATTGAATACGCTTTAGGGAAAACGTGAGGAGAATACTAATTTTCTTTGCTTACCTGAAAATTAACCTCGTGGGAGTGTAGTAAAAACGCGTATACTATTTGAGACGTCTCCGAAATAAACTAATCAAATGAAATTGAGACAGCTTCCATTGTCAGTTAGTAAGCATCTAATAATTAAAAATGAATTACCTCGCGTTTAAGTTTTGGAGCAGAAAATATAGTTTTTTAACTATTGGAGCAGAAAATATAGTTTTTTTAACTATTTCAAAAACAGCTAGTTTAATTTAACCAAATGAATGAGAAACTTTTACCAGACCATTTATTACCAATCTACCCTTGCCATTTCGCCCTTTAAGTCAATCTACCCTGTGCCAAGAAGCCATACGTCATTCTAACCTATGCCATTTGACCCAAAAACAATTGGTTAATTTCGTAGATACGGTGTTAGAGACAACAAGCATTAATTTTCTTGCAGTCTAAGAAAAGTCCTCTAACTTGGCCGATTAAAACTCGCGGTCAAAATATTGTCATTTAGTAATAACAGGTTTGATCCACATATTCGGTATTTGGCACAGAAATGATTCCAATCTAGCACACAAATGATTCGATTTTTTTAAAGCAAATTATAGGGTTTTTCCAACCAAAATCGCAGGGCAATCATTATGGAGCAAACGAGAAATTGTAACAAAACAACAGCTCAAAATGTTCACGATGGCACTCCCACAATAGCAACGTAACTGCAATTGTTCAGAGTTTTGAGCTCGTCTCATGGCGAACTGAACGCAGACACGAAGTTCTCCATGGCCGGTCAAACGCAAGCATGTTGATATAGCAAAAAAAAAACAGAAAATGAACACCAGAGAGGGACCTGTTAAAATCTGCATTATTGCAACTTGCCGCCAACCAGTACCATGAAGAGAGCCGTTCAACTGGCTACCATCACACTGCAATCAACAGGGCACTGAATTGAGAGCCTTTTCGCCGAACATTCGAGAGGCATTTCGAAAAGCTCAGTCCACATGAAGGCTTTTATTGGTTAACATTGCTTCTGGTCTAGTCATCAAAAAATCTGAACGTAACCTTTTGATCTGGATGAGACGATTGGCGAAGCTGTTTTTACGGTCTTTCCTGGTTATTTCATTTTTGACCAAGCAAGTTTTACATTGCTCTGATTATTTACTCACATGCGGCGATAATTTTTTGATAAAATTATTTTTTTTCTTGATTGATTTTTTTTTATTGTTAAAATCGTTGAAAAAAAATATAAATTTTGTTAATTAAAAGAGTTTTATTCATCAGATCAGTCATTCTCTCATTTATCAGACTCATAGATTTCGTTAAATTGAGACCTGGAAAACAATGCTGTGTAATATCGAAACTAAGATATTATATACCAAGGGGACAACTACCGCAGTAATCTAGTCCCTATTCTTCAGAATGGCGTTTTGATTTACGGGTGCTGTATTTTTTCATTTTTGAACCCAATTTTCGAAATGCAAAACAAAATTGTGTGTGACCAGTGTGAAGATAATTTTTAAGAAAAATAAATTGCTGACAGTTTTCGAGTACCATATCTAAGAGCTTTTGAAATTCGTCCAATCTGCAAACAAAATGCACTGAGTCTTTTTTAAACAAAAAGTTTAGATTTCGAAAATTTCAAAAACTAACAAGGAGATCTTGCGCGAGATTTCTTGTGAAACCTTTTCGCAAATGAAAAAATGAAAGATTCTCGATACAGTATAGAGGATGCAAATTGTATAACAAAGTAAAACCTTGGACTTACTGCCCGTTCAATTTGAAAATAGTTCTTTTCAGGAAATATCAAGATTTTACCAAAAACTCAAGGATTCTTTTTTTAATTCAAAGTTTTGCTCCGGTTAAATATACTTATGAATTGTAAGAAGTTAAAAAATTGGCTCCATTGGTTAAATGCGGTTGGGCATTCCCCGGGGAGTCAGGATTTTTATTGGGAGAATCTGAAAACTTAAAAAATTCTTTTGCATTTGATTATCGTGCATACTAAACGCTTAAATATGGAAAACGTGCATGAAGCTTTTTTTGAGCCCTTTAGATCCTGTTACAATTACTCCGAAGCTTCAAAAATGCACATTAAATTTCCGAAAATTTAAAAAATATATATCAAATGCATATGCTCAGTAAACATGTTCTTCTCTTTGTTTTTACTTTACTAATACTGACTGTTGTAGCGTGATAGATACTGAAAATAGATGAAACTGGCTCTGCTTGCTTTTGGAAGTATGTTTGCTTGATGAATATAAAAAGTTCTCGAAAAGACAGGTTTGTTAAATTTTTTTAAAACCCGTTCTTTGAAATATTTTATGACCTTTTAGGGCAGATGCTTGGTGAATTCTAGGATCAAGTTGTCTGTCCTCTCCAAGTCTCATTATCTGATGCTATATAACCTTACTGAACAATTATTGGAGAAAAAAATTCTTTCTTTCTTTTATTTTTATTAGAGTCGAATTTCGAAGATAGAATAACGTAGGGTAGTTTTAAGCAAGCTAATATGATAAATCTAGATTTATCCTGGGGTTATTCTTATTTTCTCAGCATTTTTGGTCCGCAAAAGCATGTTTTGGCCTTTGTTGTCTCATCCTCAGAAACTGAGCTACATTTGAAAATATATTTCATAAATTTCGCGCGATTCCATTCAGTTACAGTACAGAAATATAAATTCAGCTAAAACATTGGATTTTTTCCAAAAAAGAAAACAATTATTTCTAATATTAGGGACCTTTTTCGAACATTTGGTAACAATTCTTCTTCTTTTTTTCAGCATTTTCTCTTTAAGGCTGGAGATTCATAATCAGGTTGAACTAAATAACGTGCTTGAGTGGCCAAAAAGTAGGGATCAAGATTGGTAATGGGAATGACTAATGAGCTTGGGAAGCTAACTGTTTTTCCTCATTAGTTCTGGGGAAGTGTCTTTAGTTCTGGGGAGATAAATGGTTATGTATAAACTAGAGTATTTGAGAAAAAGATAAACGGTTCTTCCTTAATTAAATTATCAGAAACTGCTGAGCAAATCTGAGAAAAAGCGCCGTACTTATCATCTCATATCTTTAAACAAGCATGTCAATGATGCTAGCAAGATTGGTGATGCCTAATTAGATGATAACAGAGGTCGGCCTCTTACAGCTACATCGACGTACAATCACTTCCATCAGATCATCTGCCTGCCTTTCATCGACTTCGTTTTGCTAGACCTGCCGAAAAAATTCTACGCGGCTGCCGCATCTTGCTTTTAAAAGTGCAAGCTCATTTCTTGGTGGATTTAGAACAGAGATTCAACTGAAAAAGATTTCGACGACTTGATCGATCTATACCAGAACGTACTGCCATATGGCAATTTCGGGAGCGAGTTCCAAGTCTGGAGGAAAATGTGCGGCTTCCAAATATGCGGCTTTACAGCAATATACCAGCAATTTTCACTGATGTCAAAAACAGTCTGTCACAAGTCGACAACTCCAGCCATGTACGCACTTGCTCCAAATTGGAGCAACCCTTCCAGTAACACTTTGCACAGCTGAACGCTGCTTCTCTGGTATGAAACTGAGAAAAAGTAACTTCGATCTAATATGAATGAAGATCGCTTATCGAGTTGGCTTTAGTATACATCCACATAGAAGTGGAAATAAATGTTCATGATGCCATAGACTCACTTTTGTACAAGATTACTTAAATTTGACGAGAAGCTTCAAGGAATTTTTTTTCCACAAAACGGCCCGATTCATTAGCTGGATAATTTGTACTTCAATAAGACATGCCTTTTTTCTACAAGATCTGATGGAAGAGCATATTGGTAATAGCTTTCACACAGAGGCGAAGCTGAGCTCCGCAAACAAGCAAAAAAATGCAAAAAAGAGCTATAAGCAGGCCAAACAAAGTGAAATAAGGAAAAGATTCGAAAAACACAATGAAAAAAAAAATCAGTGAGATTGGGAGTATCAGGTTCTCATATCTGTTCCACGACCGCTGGTAAATTTACTAATACTAGCCACCAACAAAGCAGCTAGAGTTTCTATCAAATTGCCAATGCTACGCAGCAAAAATTCGACCGCAAAAAAAACGTTTCAAGGCTACGGATTTGAATCTCCGACCTGCTGATTAGGAGTCACACGTCCTCGCATCTGCATCACGGTCGCTTGGAAGTAAACTAATGGCCCAGCTAATGCTGAATCCACCTGTTTTAATATTTTTAATCGTATTTTGTACTGATACGGAAATGCGTAATTTTCAAAAAAAACGACTTTACGCAAAATCCTTAAGATTTCTCTGCTTAAGTAGCGGATTCGCAGCTTAATTTTAAAAAAAAACAACTACTACTCGTTCTTTCAATTGAAGTTTTTATCTCAGATTTGGCTGAGTAGTTTTAGAAAAAAGGAAGAAGATTCCAAAAAACGATCAAAAACTCGAAAATTAGCCTGTTCTTTAATCCATAAACATTTCTCTTTTAAAGAAAGGGAATAACCTAAAGAGAAGACGTCCAGACCTTGATTTTTAAATTAAACCCTTCAGATCAGATTTTGCTAGAAGTTTTCGAGAATAGTGATGAAGTTAAAAAAAAACGGAAGAAAATTAATTAAATGCATTTTTCCGAAATCCATATCAGCTTTTCTACAAAAACTAATGTAAAACAAATTGCAGAGACAAATCGAAGCACCATTTTAGTTTGAATGAACACAGAGGCGAAGTTGCACTTAGCACACACAAGCAAAAATATGACCGATAACGCTACTGGGAAAAACT